TTCTGCTTGGAGGTCGACAGTACCTCGCTCAGGTAATACACCGGTCTCTGGACCGGAAGCGCCTTGCCTTCCTCCTTGCGCTCAACTACAATAACTGTGCTGACTACCCGGCTGGTGGCGGCGATGTACAAGAGCATGGGCTCTTTGGGAGTCGGAGCCGCCAACACAGGGGGAGTCGCCAGCATCTTCTTCAGTTGGAGAAATGCCTCATCTGCCTTGTGGTTCCACTCAGAAAAGGTGGTCTTCTTCATCAATTGATACAATGGCAGAGCTTTCTCGCCCAGCCGACTGATGAATCGGCTGATTGAAGCCAAGCAGCCGGTGAACTTCTGCACATCCAGCAGTCGGCTGGGTACCTCCATTCTCTCAATGGCCTTGATCTTCACGGGGTTGCACTCTATGCCGCGTTCGGAGACCAAAAAGCCGAGGAGTTGGCCGGCCGGGACTCCGAACACGCACTTTTCAGGGTTGAGTTTGATCTAGAATCGGCGCAGATTTTGAAAGGTCTCTTTGAGGTCTTCCAGCAGCGTCCCACGCTTCTCCGTCTTCACCACCACATCATCCACATAAACGTGGGCGTTTCTGCCGAGTTGCTTGAAGAGGCACTTCTGCATGCAACGCTGAAAGGTGGCGCCGGCATTCCTTAAGCCAAACGTCATTGTCAGGTAGCAGAAGGCTCCAAACGGCGTGATGAATGCGGTCTTCAGTCTGTCTGCTGGATTCAGCTTGATCTGGTGATACCCTGAATATGCGTCTAGGAAACTCAACAGCTCGCATCCGGCTGTGGAGTCTATCACTTGATCGATCCTTGGCAGAGCAAATGGATCCTTTGGCCAGGCTTTATTGAGGCTGGTGTAGTCTATGCACATCCGCCACTGCTTATTCTTCTTCAACACCAGCACAGGGTTGGCTAACCACTCCGGAAAAAACACCTCCATGATGAATCCGGCTGCCAGGAGCCGGGCTATCTCTTCTCCCACAACTCTTCTCTTCTCTTCTGACAGGCGGCGCAAGGGCTGCCTGACGGGCTTCACATCTGGCTTGACGTGTAGCTTGTGCTCGGCGAATTCCGTCGGTACACCTGGCATGTCCTTGGGGGACCACGCGAAGATGCCCCGATTCTCACGGAGGAAATCGACGAGCTCGCCTTCCTATTTGCTGTCAAGACCGGTGCCTATGACAGCGTACTTCTCTGGGTGCTCCGGGTCCAAGGGTATCTTCTTGGTTTCTTTAGTCGGCTTGAACGATCCTTCTGCTTCCGACTCCTTGGGGTCAGGCGATATCTCCGGCTGCTTCCCAGCCATCGCCACGACACGGTCAAGGAGCCGCTTCTCAGCCGCGATCACCAAAGACTCGGCTAGCCGACTGCTCTCGGCCGCGCAGGCGGACGACTTCCTGTAGTCGCCGGCAATGCTCAGGATCCCCTTGGAACTCGGCATCTTCATCTTAAGGTAGGCATAATGGGGAACCGCCATGAACTTGGCCAAGGCTGGTCGGCCAAGCAGGGCGTGGTACGGGCTCTCCAAGTCTACCACCTCGAACCAGACAGGCTCTCGGCGGAAGTAATCTTTGTCTCCGAAGAGGACGTCTATCAGAATCTTGCCAATTGGTGAACAGGAGAGGCCGGGTACGATTCCATGAAACACGGTGCGGCTGCTCTGCAGCTGCCTCCGCCTGATTCCGAGCTTCTCCATGGTGTCCTTGTATAGGATGTTTATGCTGCTGCCTCCGTCTATCAGGACCCGTGAGAAACGGGCGGTCCGCCTATCAGTGGCCAAGGTCGCACCTAAAACCAAGGCGTAGGAGCCCGGACTCGGCATCACCTCTGGGTGATCTGCCCGACTCCAGCTGATAGGCTTCTCGGACCAATGCATGAACTCAGGGGCCTCTGTTGCTACTGCCTTGACTTCTTGCTGCTGTTGGCGCCTGCTGCGCCGATCATCTGCCAGACTGGTGAACACTACGTATGCTCCGTGCTCTTCTGGGAACTCGTCTTGGACTGCGCCGACTGGCCGAGCCGCCGGCTGCTGGGGCGGGGGCGGAGGCGGCGGCCCCGCAGGCGGCGAAGGGGCAAGGCCGTCTCCCTTGGCGATCCTGGCGAGCCAGTGGCACTTTCTGGTGGTATGGTTCGACGGCTTCGCGCCGCTGTGGAACTTGCAAGGACCATCCAGAGTCTGCTCATAGGAGAAGGCCGGCAACCAGTTGGACTTGCCGCCTTTCTGCCGCTTGGCCGGAGGCTGCCCTTCCGGTTGCTGATCTTCCACTGCCGCGACCTGCCGACTGTTGGAAGTCGGCTGTGGGGCTTTACGCTTGTTGTCGTTCTGTTGCTGTCGCCGGCTGGCATCTCCAGCCGGGGTTCTGGGAGCCTGGGGAGTCACTTTGCCAGCCGCGTTGACTTGGATCTCCGTCTTCATAGAGGAGTCGGCCGTGGCGTACTTGTCTGCTATGACTAGCAGTTCGTCGAGGGTTTCGGGCTCGTCGCAGAGGAGCTTGTGCTTGAGGAGGGTTCCCTCTCGGCACCCGGCCGTGAAGTACTCAATGGCCTGCACCTTGTGCACGCCTTCGCAGGAGTTTCGGAGCTCGCCCCAGCGTGTGAGGTAGTCGCGTGTTGATTCTTTGGGGCCTTGCATGCACAAGGAGAGCTGGCGCGGCTTGGGAGGTCGCTTGTACGTGCTGGTGAAGTTGCGTATGAAGGCTTCAGTAAAGTCGACCCAGCTATTGATGCTGCGGGGCTTCAGGCTGTTCAGCCATGTCCGGGCCGTGCCCTGGAGCATGAGAGGAACATACTTCACGGCGACTCGCTTGTTGCCGTTGGCGATGTTGACGGCTGTGGAGTAGTCTATCAGCCAATCCTCCGGCTTCACGGAGCCGGTGTACTTGGGCGTATCTCGGGGGAGCGTGAACCCTTTGGGGAAGGGCTCGTCTCTGATGCGGGGCCCGAAGCAAGGCGGACCCAACTCATCTTCTTCTTCTAACGCTAGGGATCTGTGGAGTCGGTCGATCCGGTGGCGGGCATCATTCTCTCCAACTCCCTCTCGGCGGCCAAGGCGACCTCCGAGAGTCGGATGCTCAACAGGCGGCGGAGAAACTCGCCGTTCTCTTTGGGGCGGGGGAGGCAGATAATCGTCCCGTCGCTCCACGGCTCTGGGGCGGCCGTCTTGGTCACGCTCGATGGTGATGCGCGTCCGGCTGTGGCTAGCAGCCGGCTCCTTCTCTTTCCTTCCGCGGACTCCGCCAGTCGGCGTCTGGGAGGTCGCGCCTTGGTCTCGGCGAGGGGGTAAGTCATCGTTCGGCTGCTGCTGCGCGTCTGCGTGGCCGCCTGCCGCGTTCTGCGCAGCAACCGCATCGAGGAGCTGCTAGACTCGCTCCGTTATTACACGGCGCTCTTCGCCTTCGAGGTTCCTCAGTTCTTCGGTCGCCGCCTGGGCGGCGCGGATGTTCTCCGCAGGGGTGGCGTACACGGGGCGTTTCGCCCCGAACAAATCGGCGATGGCCACGCCGCGTTCACGGACCGCAGCTAGACGGCTCGGCCCAGTCGGAGCCGGCGAGCCGCCTACAGCACGATCCATCTCGCGCTGGTATGCTTCGGACAAGCGTCTCATGCTTGCCAACTTCTTGGCGCCTTCGATGAGCTGAAGGCGGCGTTCTTCCAGCGTCTCGGCGTCCGCGTCCTCTGGAATAGGCGCGGTCAGGTCTTGCAGGGCCGCTGGCAGCGGGTCCTGGGCGTCTTCGCCGGAGTGCTCGCCGTGGCCGATGACGAGCACCTCCGTGACGGCGCTTCCGCCACTCTCCTCGTACGGAAGCGGCTCGTCGTAGACCACCATGTTGGTGGGGAAGATATCAAGCGATACGGCGTCGGAGTCGACCAACATCGGGTCGGAGGAGCCTACGGACTCCAAATCTACGGCAGGCTCGCCGGCAACGTGGAGTTGGTCGAGGAGGCCCGCGAGAAGGTTCTCGGGGCCACCCGTGCCTGTGCTCGGTGCAGGCTCGTCGGAGAGGCGCACCTCGCCAATGAGTTCGGCGAGGCCGCTGGTAGCGCAGGCGGCTTCGGCGCCGCGCAGCGCGTCGATGCAGACTCCATCTGGCGAGCCGGGCTGCCTGCGCTTGCCAGGGAGGAAGAGGGTTCCCGTCCAAAACAGATCTCCGGACGACGGTGCACCTCGCCCCACGGTGGGCGCCAAATGTTGGGGGTTGGATGCGACATATGCCAACGGGTGGCTTATCATGGTGGGGGCGAGTAGAACGGTAATCTGACTGGGCGTGGCCCCCAGCCGTCAGTCTCTCTTGCAGCCGTCCTCCCTGCCGGCTTCTGGGGCCCGCCGACTGGCGGGCCCCGCGGACAGGCAGAACACTGTGCAGCTCTCCTGATGACGCAGGCTCGGTCATGGGGTCGTGGGAACAGTGCCGCCGTCTGTCAAGCGATCACTGTCGCCACTCCCCGTCCAATCTGGTTTATGGCTTGTGGGGCCCTGGTCGGGAGGCGGCCGACTCTGGGGAGGCTGACTCCCGCAGGGCCGTCTTCGGACTCTCCGGCCATCTTCTTCTCTCCCACTGACGGGGGGCCCGGCGATCTCCGGGCCGTACATGCCGCCGTCGTGGGCACAGTGCCTCGTGCACTGTGGCTGAGGTCAGGGGTGGCATGGCAACAGTGCCGCGCCTCACCGGAGATCTCCTGGTGATGCGGCACACTGTAGCCATGCCTTCCTCCCGTGGGCTTGAGGGGACGGCCACGTCGGGGCTGTACCCCGCATCGGTCTTCGTGTAAGGTCGCGGGCCGACTCTCACAGTCGGCCTCTTGAAAGGTCGCAAGCCCGGAGTCGGCTTGTTTTAGAGTCGCCGTCTGAGGACTCGGGTTCTTCGAAGGTCGCCGTCTAAGGACTCGGCTCCTCCAAAGGTCGCGAGCGGGGACTCGGCCTTCTCGAAGGTCGCCGGCTGGGACTCGGCTGAGGGGCGCGGCCTGCCCCGATGTCTTGAAAGATCTTGTGTCCCGGGTCAGCCTACCCGTGGCCCATTACTCCGACAACCCACTCCTTGGACTCCGGATCATTCAGCGTCCACATGCTGACCGTCATGGGTGCCTCGTCGTTGCTGCGAGAGCTCCACTCCACGCACCGGAACTTGCCAGCGCTCACCTGCACGAACCGGCGGTAGGCCGCCGGTCTCCCGGCGCAGTGGGCGCACGAGGCACTAGGCAGATGGCAGTCGCTTTCTGGGAGCGGGACGATGTCCAGCACCGGCGCATCCGCGAAAGGGTCGCAGAAGATGAGCCCCCCGGCGAGATCCACCCACCAGAGTTTGCCATCGTGGGCGACGACGCCGTCTCTGCCCCAAATCCAGTGCCCCAGGGGGTTGTGCACCGGCTTCCACACCCACTCGCCGGTGTCGGACGAGAAGCAGAGGAGCGTGGCGTGCTTGTCTGCGAACATGTAGCGGAACTCGACGACCATGTAGCGCAGCGCACCACCTCCGGCTCCTGGGGCAGCGACGACGCCGAGGTTCAGCGCATTGATCTCCGAACCTAGCCCCCTCGGGTCGCGGCCGGGTTGCGGGAGGCGGAAGGCGGTGGCGGAGGCGACGTCGCAGACGAAGTAGGCAGGCGGCCGGCGCTCGATGTCGGTGATGTTGAGGACGAGCCTCCCGTTGCGGTAGGCCGGCGGGAGAGGTGGAGTGGGAGCGGGAGGGGGCGGCGGGGCGCAGAGGAGGAGGAGGCCGGAGGCAGGGTCCGCGGTGACAACCCAGGGGCAGGCGCCGCTGGTGGGGTCGGCCTGGACGGGGGACACGCGCGGGGGCACGGTGAGGGCAGAGACGCGCGGCGGCGCGGCGAGGTCGAGGGAGAGGTCCGCGTCCTGCTGCTCCGACACGCGCGGGACGGCGCCCAGGATGACCCACGCCGGCGGAGCCATTTTGGCAGGAGAGCGGAGCGAAAGCAAGCGGAGAAGGGTGGAGTGGAGTGATGCCGATGCCCGTGAACGATGGGAATGTGTGGGAGGGTAGTAGTAGGGTTTTAGCCGCCTAATTTCCAGGGGTTCTCTCCACGAGGGGATTGATGAACTAAACTGATAAGTGGATTGGGGGTTGATGCGTTTGTACTACGAGTTTGAATCGCTCCTCTCTTTCTTTTCTCCGTGGCAGTAATTCTAGGGCTTTTGTCGTGGCTTTGCAGGTACGACGACGAGACGAGTCGTTGGACTGAGCTCTGTAGGCTTTACACGATGGCCTTTGGCAGTTGCCGTTTTGGTGTCTGCGGAGCAGACGAGCAGCTTGGGAGGCGTGGTGCGTTGCAGGAGTTCGGCAAACGCAGCTTTGACCAACACAGCCATGCGCTATGTCACAACTCACAAAAGAACATACAGTATACCTACAGCATCTACAACCGGGCTCCCAAACCCCTACGCCCGCGCGAATGGCCTGGTACTCACCGGTCACACAATTCCGACTCGACGTCACGTACCGGCCCTAGGTGTATGGGGTAATCACGTCCAGCCGAAATCTAGGCGGATACGGAGGGACCCGGCGCACGCATCCGTCATGTCAGATCTAGCCCACGTTGTCCCACCTCGACTCCATATATATTCGTTCTCATCCGCATCTAGGATCAAATTTTAGGCATCCCTCTTCAGTCCGCCCTCAAGCTCCCTTCTAGCGATTTCCGGCCTGGGCTAATCGGTCGGGTAGAAGCTCGTTTCTCTAGCATGGCGGGCAGCGGATCGACTCCGACCACTCCTGATCCATCGACTAGGGCAGCGTCCCATGCGGGGAGCAGGAGGTTATGGTCGTCTGCATGACCCTCCGCCATTCCCGGAAGAGTGCGCCCAACCGAGGTCGGATTCGATCCAGCGGGAATCCGTTGCGCCGGCGCAACCGGCACTCGAATCCGCGGGGGCTGAAGGCTCGAGGTCCGTCTCCCGCCCCATCTCCGGTGCGGAGGCACTTGAGTGTTACAAGGACCGGTGTACCCGTCATGTGAAGGAGAGGCTGTGGGAGGCTAGAGGAACTTGAGTGTTACAAGGACCGGTGTACCCTCGTGTGAAGGAGAGGCTGTGGAAGGCTGAGGACCGCCTCGCTGCCGGAACTGCAGAGGCAAAGACGACCGATGCGGCGGCGCGCGCTGCCTTGGACGAGGAAGTCGTCCATGCCCGCATCGTCCAGAAGCGACAAAGGAGGAACACGCATGCCCTCGTTCGGGAGCAAAACTAAGCGGTCTGTGCCATGGCCGGACTGCCCCCCAAAGAGGAGAAAGAAGACAGTGACGACTCGGACAACTCTGACGAGAAGCAGATCCGGCTTGATCCATTTCGCGTTTTCGAGAGCTACGCCCGCGACAAAGACGCCAAGGACGCCCACACAAGGTAGGGCAAGGGCAGCCGTCAATGATCTTTGTCCATAGCTAGTAGAACGTGGCAATTTTTTGTTGTCCTATCGCATGTATTGACATAGTACCAGGACGCTTTGTGTTGGATCATGGTGATAGTTTACGATGCATGTGGTTGGATGGATTTGAGGTTTACTAAATGAGGTACCATGTTGTCAAAACAAAAATTTGTGGGATGACCGATAACTATTCCGCACACCCAACCGTGTTTGCGGACGTTTGAAGAAACGGATTAGCTATATGCAATTATAGATGCTCTTCAAGAAAGCGGAGGGCTATCTAGGCATACTGATTGTAAGTGAACCAAAACCTTCTCGTTATTTTGTTTTAAACTAAGTTCCTTATAGTTGAATTTTTTTATTTCTTGAGGACAATCAAGGTTTAAGTTCAGGGAGGTTGATGAGTGATATTTTTGCGGTCATTGCACCGTTGTTTAAACCGGCTAATTCCGGAATTTCCAAGAAAATCACTCTGATATTGACAATAATGACTAACGATTGCAAGAGATCATGAAACCCTTTGTTTATGTGTTTCTGCGGGAAAAGGGACTAAACATGGAAGGATATCATCATATACAAGCAAATCCAAAGTTGGGTGGAAGAGGCAAGTCAATAGGAGGAGCAACAGGCTTTCATGGAGTGCAAGGCGGCGCATGGTATGAGCGCACCCGCTCGTACCACATGCCGCCAGCTCAAATTGTCCACGTGACCAACTTCTATAAAGGGGCGAACACCAGAATATCAATAGTGAGGGCATCATTCATGAAATGTAGAACCAAAAACCCATCTTCCAACCCCAGCTGCCATCATTTACCATTTCATCTCCATAGCCTCCACCACAATCATCACCGCAGCCATCCATCTCCAATTGTAATTTGTATCGCATCTAGCAACTATTGTAAGACATATTATAAATCAATCATTCATCTTGATGTCGTCTTCAATGAGTTCATCTTCGATCCGGTCGCAACGTGTGAGTAATTCGGTAAGGCAGTGTATTGAGGCAAGGCCTTGTGACCCTATGTATTTGTGCATGTGATCACTGGAATGACTTTGTGTATTTGACGTTATTTGTATTTATCCGATTCCACGGAGTTGTCTCTTGTCTTCTTTTCGTTCTAAGGCCCTGCAGGTACCCAAGATCATCTAGATCGATCAGGGAGAAGGTAAAAGAGCGAGGACAACATGGAATGCTATTCCGGACAGCAGTGAGAGAAGGGGTTAGTATGGTAGCAGAAAAAAATTCCCTAGGGGCAAATGAGGTTTAGTCATTAAACACCCAATACTTTTGTCTGGATATTTCACTACAAGAAAAAGACACATCCATGACATTATGGCCAGAACAAAAAAATTCCATCCTGGAAGTGAGGATAATTGTGATAAAAACACGTATCATCATGGATGTGGTGGGCACCTAGTTCCATGATAAAACAATATGACAGGAAATGAGCTTTTCGTCCTGGCCAGGCTGGAGGCGCACCTGCATGACATTCTTTGGGTGTCCATGACCTAAAAAATTATGGCAGAAGTGAAGGCGGGAATTTTTCGAGGATTTCTGGTATACATTGGGTGGTCGGGAGGGGTGGTTTGCATGCTTCTCTCATACACACGCGTGCACGACGAGCCCTTCGCTTACTGAACAAGACCTCATGGAGGCCGTAGGCAGTTGGCGCTGGATGAAACAGTACCCTGTGGAGGCTGTTTTGTGGTACGTCACACCCCTCTCGATGAACAGTACCCTGCTTCAGCCGTAGATGGTTGGCATTGGATGAACAGGACCCGTTTAAGCCCTTTTGCGGTATGCCACACCCCGCCCAGTGCGGATCAATGAACAGGACGCCATTTCGGCCGTTATGCGGTACGCCCCACACGTGCATGTTGGCTCCCGATGAATAGGACTTCGTTCCGGTCATTCCGCCCCAGCCGGTTGGCTCCCGATGAACCTGACACCGTTCGGCCATTCCAACCTAGCAAGTCGGCTCCCAATATTTATACCTACTATTTTTATCACGTTTGGACTTCGTTTGATATGGATATTATGCGAAACAAAAAACATGCAACAAACCGGAACTGACACTGGGCACTGGATCAATAGGTTAGTCCCAAAAATAATATAAAATGTTGCCAAATGTATATGAAAGTTGTAGAAATTGGCATGAAACCATCAAAATTTATAGATACGACGAAGACGTATTAGCATCCCAATCTTAATTCATGCTCGTCCTCGAGTAGATAAATGATAAAAAAGATAATTTTTGATGTGGAATGCTACCTAGCATAATCTTGATCATATAATCTAATTATGGCATGAATATTAAGACACGAGCGATTCAAAGCAATAGTCTATAATTTGACATAAGGACATCAATACTCAGGCATCCCAACAAGCAATCATGTCTTTCAAAATATCATTGCTAAAAAACTTTATCCCTACAAAATCATATAGCCTTGTTATGCTCCATCTTCATAACACAAAGTATTTAATTATTTATCATGTACTACCCCGGTGTCAGCCAAGCAATTGGTTCATACATTTTAACGCACTTCGGCTTTTTCATCCCCCACGCAATACATGAATGCAAGCCATGGATATATCACTATGGCTAGAATAGAATACGATGGTAGAGATGAATATGGAGAAGACAAAAAGGAAGAAAGTATCACATCGACCCGGCAAATCAACAGGCTATGGAGATGCCCATCAATTGATATCAATGCGAGGAGTAGGGATTGCCATGCAACAGATGTACTAAGAGCTATAAGTATATGAAAGCTCAACTGAAAACTAGTGGGTGTGCATCCAACTTGCTTGCTAGAAGATCTCGGGCATTTGAGGAAGCCCTTGATCGGAATATACAAGTCAAGTTCTATAATGAAAAATTCACACTAGTATATGAAAGTGACAACATAGGAGACTGTCTATATGAAAAACATGGTGCTGTTTTGAATAAAAAAAGGATAGGAACAACGCCCCTTCTCTCTTTTTCTCTCATTTTTTCTCCCTTTTTTTCTTTTTTTCTTTCTTCGTTGGGCTCTTTTTGGCCTCTTTTTTATTGGTCTCTTTTACGCCTCCCTTTTTTATTTCCTTACTTGGGACATGCTCTAATAATGAATAATGATGATCATCACACTTCTATTTACATACAACTCAAAATTACAACTGGATACCTAGAACAATATGACTCTATATGAATGCCTCTGGCGGTGTACCATGATGTGCAATGATCTAGCATAGCAAAGATATAAAAATGGACAAGCCATGAAAATATCATGCTAGCTATCTTACAATCATGCAAAGCAACATGACGATTAATGCTCAAGTCATGTATATGACGATGATGGAAGTTACATGGCAATATATCTCGGAATGGCTATGGAAATGCCATAATAGGTAGGTATGGTGTCTGTTTTGAGAAAGATATAATGAGGCTTATGTGTGAAAGAGAGTATTATATCACGGGGTTTGGATGCACTGGCGAGGTTTGCACCACATCTCGGGGTGAGAAAGGGCAGTGCACGGTACCGAAGAGGC